CCACACCCACCCTCAAGATTATCTCTCAATCTTTCTCAAACCATAATATGACGACAAGCAACACAAAAAAATTACAAAGATAAAAACAATACCAAATACAATGAAAACGATACTATATGAAAAATAACATTCGAGATTGTACATATTGTTTAACTTACATAAATGTTGACGTAAATCGAAAATCTTTTTTATTGTGTTTAGAATTTTTTTTCTTTATTATATATCTAACTTACCTATACATAATCTTCTCTTCGCTATTTGATACATAAACGAGCAGACATGCGCACACACACATAATGTCATTAAAAAAAGATAAAAAGACTCATTATGAAATAGCATCAAGTAGAAAAATATGCGTAACTAAAAAAAAAGGATGACAAATCAGTTCATTTTCTTTTATCATCTTCGCGTACAGTCACACCGTTAAATAAATGTTACTGTTCGATCATGAGTAATGGTAATAGGCCGAAGTTGAAGTTGAAGACCGGAGAATCCTAGTATTATAATTGGCTAATGTATTGGTGAACATTTAGCGCATTAAAATCGCTATTAATAACATTAAATGGCGCTCTTATATGATATGGATCATGTACATTCTTGTCAGATGTTAGTTACTTATAGATAAACTATAGAGTAGTAGTTATTGGTTTGTTGAGTCTTGTGTGACGGCCAATCAACGCTTTAGGTCGTTTCAGTCTTCGGCTCGGCTTCAGCCAATTACCATTACCCTCGATCATCACAGTGATAAAGTTTAATATCTTTCGACGAAAAGCAACATTGGAGGATAATGATACATAGAAACTTGTAGCAAAAAATATATATGAAAATAAATGAATTAATTCAGTCAATATATTTTCCCATGCTATACGTAATGGTGGTTTATACCAATTTTGTGTTATGTTTGCATACGATAATTGAATTGCATATGGAACATACGTTATTACAGCAATAAATGATTCTGATATTAACATTATTGTTAATCGTGTATCTAACTGATTAATCATTGATCTATGAGGAGTAGTTATCGATGATACACTAGTCATCGGTGCAATTCTTCGTTGAACAACAAGTCGCACGCTTTTAATAAGTAAATAAGTAAGTATAGACATACTAATTGCAGGAAATAGAGATGAAAATATAACTTGAAAGTAATTATCATAATAACTATAAAACCCTGAAGGCGGACTACATATATCATCTGTGATTCTATATAAAATAAGTCGATGACCAATGAGTAGAAACCAAAAGAGAGGAATGAAAACGATCATTTTATAAGCTAAATCAATACGATTACTCCATTGTCGATATTCTGAAATGAAACAAAAAAGAAAATATGAAATTGAAACAATTATATTTATTTAAATTTACTATTTTGACGTTGTGCTGATAGAAGACGATCAATTGTTGCAAAAGAAAACAAACTGAAACCAACAACATTACCCCATAGTGTACTAAATTGTCGAAGTTTACATACGACAGTATATTGATTAATCAATTGAATACCAAAACCGTTCTGAATTATTCGTGTTAATAGTACAAAATTAAAATAATGAAAATCAGCTATAGCAGATGCAAATAAATATATTGAATACGCTTGTTTACGAGATTTACGAGATCCGTATACTAGCATGTTACCAATACATCCAATATTACCTGTAGTCCAAAGAAATAGACCTAACCATATATTTAACTGATAAGGAATCATCAACAGAACATGACTAATATTGAACGTTGAATTATTCATTAGTATGTAATTTGCGCAGCATTCCATTATAGAGACATTTTTTTTATGTCAAAATTCTAAGGAAAAAATATAATGAAATGAAGGTGATTTTTTTTACAAAAAAATCTTTTCTTCATAATTATATCTTTTTATTAATATAAGACTCAAAGTCTTGCTGAGTTGTGACGACTAAAGAAGATAATACGTTCGATCCCTGGTGGGAAACATTTTTAATTAATTATTTATTTTTAAGCATGAAGAAAAATTAATATTATGAACGAGAAAAAAAAAACATCGTAAGCAAACTATATTTAAATCCATACTCTGACTTATATTGAAAATATTTATTTTTGGACATGATC